CTGCTGCTGTCGATTTCAATATGTCTTGCCTCGTCATTTGACCATTAACGCATTCCGACCAGGCACCCTTTTCATAGCGACATGCTGTGAAGGAAAAAAAGAAAGAGCAATTAATATGTATAAGCGTTTTACAAAAAAAGGTCTTAATTTAGCGGATGATGTAATGTTGAAAAAGTATTAAAACATATGCATTTATGTGCGTTGGTATTAGGTTAATTAAACTTTTCTCAAAATTGCACAGTGGGACAAGATCAACAATTTTTCACGGCCAAAATTCAACGAAAGTTTGCAGTGAAAATAGTTTTCATCACTTCACATACAATTTGCCAAAATGCGTTATTTTCCAGAGCTTCGGATGGTTTGTATAAAAATGTCATTTGTTAAGAAAGAAATTATACATATAGTATGTACAAATCGTCAGTGATACTTGTGATTAAATTTTCTATACAAATCGGAAAGTTCAATATTTTTTGAAAATTTTTCAGCACGAAAAACAACTTAAAAAACCTATTATTAGTTTTTCACTACTTTTTTAGAAGCCCATAACTACGCAAACAAACTACGATATTTCAGTAAATATTGAATCCAAATTGTTGAAAATTAGTACGTGAAATAGAATTTCGGTACAAAATAATATGAAATGCTATATCTCATTAGCCCCCCTTCACCAATCTTAACCAAACTCGGTACGAACTTTGCCTTGGACCTAGCAAAGAAATCTGTTGAAAACTACTCGTAACTACTTAAAATAATTCCTTTAAAATCGATTATTGCAATATCCACTTAACAGAAAATTAGAATACTATAAATTTTTAGATAATAGGCGTGGCGCCGCCCACAAGTGTGTATCTTGGTAACTGATTTATCAATATCCATCAAATTCGGTGCACTTAATAACTTTCGTACGGAAAAGCAATTTGTTGAAAATTATTCAAATCGTACCAAAAATTACACCCGCTTCCCGTATAACGGTAAATTTCAGAAATACGCACCCTAATTTACTCCAAGTTAATAGTTACAACAACCTCTTAACAATATATAAAACTGCTATAGATCTTTGGGAATTGGGCGTGGCACCGCCCACTTTATGACTACAAAGGTGTATCTCGGTAACCACTTTATCGATGTCTACCAAACTTGGTTCAATTATATCATTAAGTCTAACTCAGCATATTATCGAAAACGTTTGAAACCGGGAAAAACGGTCCTGATTATCATGCAGGAGTAGTGTAGAGAAAGTTGAAACGACGATATTTGATAACTGCGCCGGTATGAAAAGTTCGATTTCGCCGGAACTTATACTTCTTTACTTGTTTTCATTTTAATCTTTATCTTTTCCTATACTTTAATCCGGACCTTTACCTTCATTCTTTTTTTCATCTACATATTCTTCTCTTTGTCTTTATATATATGTAGGTTTCTTTAGTTTTATTTTAATATTCTTAAAGCACACAAGTCTTATTCCTCAACTTCTGCTTGGCACGTTTATTTAATTCAGTGCCTCCTCATTTATGTAGACAAATATATGGCGTTTGTATTAGTGCAAATTTTTAATTGATTTTTTCGCTTTATTGTAAACTAATTTGAAATTTGAGTAATGCACCTCAGCTTCAAAACATTTTTCTAGAAATTAGATGCATTTTGATAAAATTGAATGATTTTTTTGTTTTCATTTTACACAAAGTTTAAAACTTGGACTTATATGATTTTTGTTATAAAATAAACT